GAACAAAACTACTTCAAATGTACAGGCAATACACCAAGGAACTATTTCCCACAGGAATAGTTTCCATATTGATTTAAATATTCTGTCTTCTTACAAACGTGTTCAGTGAATTCGGGCACGGTATTTCTTGTTTTTGGTACACACTTCCTTGTCTATAGTAAAGACTGAATTAGATTACTGAAGAATAACGCCTGTAGTTCTGAATCTGTGTTTCTTTGAAACAATCTTGAAGTAAAAAGGTAAATATTTTCTTAAGGAAAAAAATGCCTGGTATCTGAATAGAAAACAATTGCATGTTTACTGAAACTAAGTCCAGTGTAGATCACACCCACGTGGGGATGTGCCTCTGGCTGACAATTTTCAAGAACATTTCTTCCTTCAAACTCATCAGCCTGCTGCCTCCACCTCCCATGCACCTGTGTGGGTCACTGCCCGTGTCCCATTCATGGCAGCGACAATTTTGCTATCTTCCCTTCACTCTTCTCCTACTCAAAGGAGCGCTTTATATTCTTAGAGGTCAGCAAAGCACTTTACTTTCCAGAGAAAAGAGTGAATTAAAATTCAGGAAGTTATTTTCTTTCAAAGTAGGCAAAATCTCTGACTTTTAAGTGTACACTTAGATACCATATAAATGCTGAATCTTATGTATTATATTAACCATTCATAGCAGCATATTTAATAATTCCTTATAACAATATCACCTCATATCCCCACCGACCAACCATAATCCCACCATGGCAAGAGCCATCAAGTTTTCTGTTCTGTTTATACTTTATGTACATTAGGCATCATCAATTCATCTGATTGTGATCATTAGCAAAATACCTTTGCATTGGGGCACCTGGGTGGCTCAGTCAGTTAAGCATCTGCATTCAGGTCAGGTCATGATCCCGGGGTCCTGGGATCAAGCCCCGCATCTGGCTCCCTGCTCAGAGGGGAGTGTGCTTCTCCCTCTTCCCCTCACTCTGCTCATATTCTCTCACTCTTTGTCTCTCATTCGCAAATAAATGGATAAAATCTTTAAAAAAATACCTTTGAATTGCTTGTTTTCTTAAACTCAAAAATTCATTTTCTCATAGTTTTTCTGAACCATTATTTTAACCTATCACATTAGCATTGTTTCTTAAACTCATTTCTTTTGTACAAAAGCAGAATAGTTGAAATCAGTCAATCTGAATTAGAATTCACGCTGACACAAGTGTGCTGGGTTTCCTTGGACACATTGGTACCAATGCTAAGCTATAGTTTTCTTATAGAATGGAGAAAATTATTCAGAAATCATAGAGCATTTATGGAAACTAATGTGTTACGATATGTGACAAAATCTGGTGTGTTGCCAACACACAGTAAATGCTTGATATATATATTGTTTTCTTCCTTTCTTTTAGAAAGTTAAGATTATTTCTTTCTTTTTGGAAGTACAGAGATAATGTTGCAGATAATGCCTTAGATATAAGGTTACAAACTATTCTTATAGATATGTGCATGGAAAATTGTGCATATGATTTTTTCTGATTTCTCCAGTTACATATATTACATGTAATTACATGTATTTCTAGATAAATCGATACATACATTTAGGGCAGGAGTTGTCTGATTAATCCCTATACACTTTAGGTCACTGGTCCCCCACTGTAGGCAAGTTTGCCCCCAGAGCACATGCAGCAATGTCAGCAGACTTTTTTGACTGCCATAACTAGAGTGTGGGGTGAAAGGGGCCTCTAGTGGGTGGAACCCATGGATAATGCTAATATCCCACAATGCATAGGACAGCCATGCATAACAGAGAAATCCTTGCTCAAACTCTGTAATGTGGAGGATGAGAAACTCTGCCCTAAATCGATCACAGTGCTTGTTATATCATACATGGTCAACAAATATTTGCTGACTCTATGGGAAAGTCACACCTCCCCACTGAAAGTAAAAAGTTGGGTGCATGAATTCACAATGCTCATTTCCTGTAGTAGCTCACTTTCATATTAAAAGGAAAGAGCAAAGGATGCCAAAACTTATTACTACGTTGAGGGGGTATTCTGAAAACACGTTTTTTTTTTTTTTAAATAAAGTACAGTTTCTCCAAATAGCACTTTGTTCTCATGAAGGTATTTTTTTTTTCAGATACAAAATAGATTACCATCCACTCTTGCCTACTTTATCAAAAGCCATAATGCAATTAAAATTAATAGAAAAGAATGATCTCCATTAGAAATGTTGCCAGCTACCTGTCAGATCAATGAGTATTTAGATGGCCTGAGCAAAAGGACACTCTCAGATCAAAAGCCCACTAATGCTGAAGTATACTTCAGATTAAGTTAATTGCAACACAGGGGGAATGATGTTAACCAATGTTATTCCATGAAATCATTATAATTAAAGAAAGCCAGGAAGAATTGAGTCTTTAGGGAGCTCTATCAGGTTACAAACTCATGAGCTCAACACACTTGATGAAGAATAGCTGCACTATCCAAAGAATCATGAGGAATAAAATGAAGGAAGCATCCGTCTTGGTGGAAAGCATGACCTTAAGATCTAAAATTTAAGTCCTGGATTTAAATGTGTTTTTGCTTCATTGAAACTATCAGTTTCTTTATTACCATCATCATTATTGCTATATTATTATGATTTCTTTAAAAATTGTAATAAAAACAGATGAATACAAGAGAAAAGAGTGAAAATAAAGTGAAGATGTCTAAGAAAAACTCTAAAAAAAGAAAATGTATAGGTAAAACTTCCTTACACCAAGTATAGATTGTGTTAAAAATGTTTACATCACCTCACCCTGTTCTTGGAACATGTAACGAGGCATGCATTTTTAGTAGAATTTTAAAAATAAATGAGACTAAGGAACATATAAGTTAAATGGATCAGCCAAGATTATGCAGGTCATCAGTGATGGAGGCAGGATTCAACAGTCCCAACTTTCATGATATTCCTCAGAGCTAGTAAGGAGAATGAGTGGGTTTAATGATAAGTCTCCTGATGCCAAGCCCTTTTATATATACCCCTATTCATGGAAGACTGGCATGTACACAATGATAAGAAATTCAGAAGCTGCCTAAAAAACTTTAGTGGGAGTCTGATATTAGCACCTGTGATTTTAGCCAAATTTCCTCAAACTAGGAGATAATTCATCATGTGTAGAAAGAGTTCATACGTACCTTCACATAATGGGAATAGTCAGAATTTTGGTGCTTGTGGAAAGAGAGTAAGGAAGATGTAGGGTATCATTAAGGAGAATGCTTTTGGGTAAGAAGCTTTGCTTTTCAGGCTCTGAGAAGCTGTGTAGGCTGCTCCCTGCTCCTTGGTACCAATGGCAGATAGATCTTTAAGATAATGTCTTCACTTTATTAGCTGAAGCAGTCATATAGAAAGAAGAATATTTTCTTTTTATTTACTTAACAGATATTGATTGGTCTGCTAATAACTCTAGGCCAGCTGGTAGCAATAAAGATTACACAATTCAGATTAAGATCCTTGCTCTCATTAAGCTTCCATTCAAGGCAGAGTGACACAAAACAGAGTAGCAATAAGTACCATAACTTATGATAGTGAGAAGTACAATTTGGAGAAGAAAATATGGTGAGAGAGGGAGCAAGCATGTGCGCAAGAGTGGGGGGAGGGGCAAAGGGAGAGTGGAAGAAATTCTCAAGCAGATTCCCTCCCCCACCAGCCAAGGAGGGGCTCCAACTCAGGACCCTGAGATCATGACCTGAGCTGAAATCAAGAGTCAGAGGCTCAACTGACTGAGCCACGCAGGAACCCCACGGGAAATACATTATTAACATTTGCTTTGATATCATGTGTTCAGGAAACTTACCTTCGCCTTTGCAAGACAGAACTAACCATCTGACATAATTAAGAACACAAAATTCAGAGGTGGTGGTCACCTGTACCATCAGCCAACTTACTAATTGTAATTTGCTGGACAGGAATGGGAAAAGAGTTAATATTTGAGAACATGGAAAACACTTAAGTTTGAATGTAGCAGGCTACTTGGGGGCTGGAGGGCCATGGGTCACTTACACAAATTCTGAGTTTCTACTTCCCTCTTTGTTGAAATGATTGATAATATATTTCAAAGAGTTGTATACAAGAATCTTAGAACAAAGTAGGTGCTAAATAGACACCACTTCCTTTCCTTTCTACCCCTTTCACATAAGGCAGAATTGAGGCCTAAAGAGGACATACGAAGATCCTGAACTCACCTCCTGCCATGAACACATGGAATCTACAGCTGCCTGTGAAACAACTTCCGAAGAAACCGTAAAAACTAGCTGCGGGACTCCGTCTCATGTAAGTAGGAAACACATACACACACACACACACACACACACACACACACACACACACACACGGAAGTGGGTAGGAAAGGCTGAGACACAACGTTGCCATAATCCTCACCCCTGCAGGACAATCTGAAGGGAACCCCAAACAACTCTGCGGGAGCTTCTCCCGCGAGCAGGGAAGGGTTGGCTATCCCACAGCGAGCACCCCAACTTTTAGGACCCGCACCTGAGATGAGCCCCAAAACGTCTAGCTTTGAAAAACCCTCAGAGCTGGCGGCCAAGGCAGCCACAGGGCTGGGTGGAACGGAGAAACGCTCTTACAGGGCTGGTGCCTGACTCAGGCTCCCGGTGAGCCAAGCTCCCCTGCTGATCCTAAGGCATCGCCCTGCGGGGCGGGGCCTCTGGGAGGCCCTCCCGCGACGGAGGCTGGCCCGCCCCACCTTCCAGCTCCCGCTCCGCCCTGCTACAACCACACCCCACCGTGCGCAGACAGCACTTTTTCTTCCCGCGCGGGGCGTCTTGTTGATGCGCCCCTGGCCTCCCTCCAGCAGGGGGCGACATGTGGGGCTCGGCCTCCACAGTGGGAGCCCCAGCGTCGCAGGAAGGGAGTTTTATCGCGCACCCAGTCGACCGTGCAACTCTGATAGGCACCGCAAGCCCTCAGCTCGTGGGGGCTGTCTGAAATAAAATAGGCTGCTTGGCCAATCCCAGAGGCAGGCAAGCAGGAGGGGAGGCCGGCTCGAAGGTCAGGTTCCCCTCCTCCCCACTCGCTGCTTCGGTCTGGGAGAGGGCCTGTTGGCTCTGATGCCCCAAACCAGAGGCTGGAGCCCGGGAATATGTGCCAGACGGCGGAGTGAGATGACGCCTTATGAGAAAGGAAGGGACTTGCCCACGACGACACAGCTACTTATTGGGTAAGCTCGAGCGAATATTTATTCCTCATTTTATGCTCTTTCCAGGACTCTCTTTAGCCACTTCTGTGATGCGATGAATTTAATTGGTAATGGGCAAAAGGACATCAAAAGAGGAACTTTTTAAGAGGGTCATGAGTGATCCCAAGATTCTCTGTGAGAGGAGTGGGTTTGAGCCTCAGTGAGGCCTTTGCTGGTTCTCAAAGTATGTTCCTAGGAGCGGCAGCCTGATTACCGCTTGGGCACTAGTTAGAAATGCAAATTCTTGGGTCACGCACGCCTCAGAGCTACTGAATGAGAAACTCTGGGGCAGGCCTGAGCAATCTGTGCTTTAACAAACGCCCTGTCATCCTGGGACACATCAAAGTTTGCAAACCACTGTTTCAGACAAATGGTTAGGAAAAGAAAGGGTGTCCGCTAAGGACGTGAAGAGTCATATGCAGGGCGATGTTGTCAGAATGAAATTCTCACCCTAAAGGAGGTTTTGTGAATGGAAAATTGAATATTGATAGATGATAGACAGATGATAGATATTCATGGTGTCTAGGTCACAAATCACGTTTGCTTTCTACATATATTGCAACTCATTTTACTTTTACTTCCTTTGCTTCTCCTTGCCCTAAAAAGCAGCTTGGCAGTATTCTACCTGGTAATTGTAGGTACTAATAATCATACTGTTTTCATTCACTTTCACTTTAACTGCAGAAAAAAAATTTTTTTTCCCTGTAGAATAATTTAATGAATGTTGATGGAATGCCCTCAGATTTTGACCACAGCTGTTGTATGTATGATGTCGAGTGAGGTTATCCAAGGTCTGAAGCATCCTTTCTGGGTGGAGCCTTAATCCAGGCTCCCCTATTGTCAATTACCACTTTGTAAACTCTAAAATGCCATTTAAATATTAATCATTGCCTGTAAGAGCGTCTGACATGTGCTCAGATAATTTCAGGTGGATTCTTGCATTACACTGATTTTATATTTTACTTGTTCATAACATATATGCCAAATTGGATAGATTTGGTGGAGGGTGTACCCTGGAGATTTAGCATCACCTATCAATGAGAAAAAGAACAAAATCTGTCTCAGGTGGTGGGCATGTCACTGATACAAATCTCTCATTTACTGAGTTCCATGTGTGGATATTGTTGCTGTGGATTTACAGACATTCTGTGGATTCCTCATAGCTCGACTTTTAGTCTGGTATTATTCCATATGAAGTTGAAGAAGTTGAAGCTTGACTTTAGATTAAGTGGAAATCTTCAAAACTAGGAAAACTGATTGAAACCCAATTCTGGTTGCTTAAAACTTCTCGCTTTTCTACTCTCTGAAGTCATAACCATGAAAACAGTTTGGTCTCCATTTGTCAAACCCTTGTGCGCTTATCATGCTGGGGAGATGCTCTGTAGAGGATGGGGCCATTTCTTGTTTCCTGTTTCTAGTCTCCCCCCGCTCCCAGCCAGTTTCAGCTCCAGCGTTCTGTTAGAAGCCTCAGGTTAACCATTCTGCACCTCCGTTTTCTCATTTATCAAATAAAGCAAATAATACTGTGTAATATATAGAGTTGGGGTAAAGATAAAAATGTATTTAAAGGTATCATTAGTAGAATAATAGGTGATTTTTCAAGGTTCTGTTGTTTCCCAGTGTTCTGTAATGAACACATATTACATAAATATTGGTAAGTACATTTATTTTCTAAGGAGAAGCACTTTCTGCCAGTGTTCTGTAAAATGTATTCAATATTTCTTCTTAAAAAAAAATCCCATTTGCCTCTCCCCTCAACTCGTGTATTGCTGCTCTGTATCAGGTTAAATGGAGGTATGAAGCAGCAGAGGAAGTAAAGGGACCATTTCTGGAGTCTTAAAATAATTAAAATTTTAAAGGGAAAAATGAAAGTCATGTAGGAAAAAGGACCTTCCCTACCAACTTTGGAATCCAAATCCTTGGGCAGATTTCCTTGGCAAGTTTTGACAGTACTCTGATCTGAGATCTTATTGATAGCTGCATTGCCAATCCCTATAGAAATATATGGATACATCTATCTGTATGCAAATCCCACCCCCTTCCTTCAAACTCCAGCCATAAACTCCATTAAGTCTGTCCTGGTTCTTTCCAGCCAGGAACTCTATATACCTTCTCTGTATTCAGTGGGTTCTTTACCTTTATGTCTCCCAGGACACATCCCTAAGGATGTGTTGGCGAGGAGCGGGTTATTATAATGCTAAAAAGAAGTGTGGAGAAGAAAGACAAAAATACCTATTTCTCTTCTAAAGACATTAGCTCTTAGTATTTTGATTTTATTATGTTCACTATTTTTTCAGCGTTTATTTGGTGTGTATTTTTGTTTACCTAATTAAAGTCAACTTGCAAAAATATAACAATATGTAGAAACACCAGATTTTACATTGTGAAGTGATATTATAATATAATTTGTCAGGTCACTAAATTCGTCAGGATACATCAATTTCTAACATGTAGTGTTGGTTGTCATTGATTGTTACCCACCATACAGAGAATCCAAACTGGATGACACCATAAATTGTATCTGAATTGTGTATTTCCCCCAGGGTCTCCTGATAGTAGATATTTAACAAATAACTGTGTACTGAATGGCTTTCACTTTTATTGCATCTTGGAATCTATGGAATACATTGTGTCATTTAACAATGACAACCCCTTAGGAAAGAGTAGACCTTTTTACTTATTTCATGGGTAATTTAACTTCTGGGAGGGAGTGGTCAAAAACACTTGGCCATCCATCCTGAGCTTTTGTCTCAGGGCTGGTGTTCTTTCTTACAAGACAGGTTGCATTAAATTCAAATGAAGGATTCCAAAGGGCCTTTAACTTGGATTCATACTCTTTATAGAATGGCCAACCAACTCTTCCTAGTGATATTCAGGATATGAATATGCCGAGAAGTCTGAGGTATTTCTAATGAATCGGTCTTAAAATCTTCCAAGCGCATAGTGTGCCAAAGTCATTATTTTGGTGAATAGGCCCTAAACTCTTAAAAAATGAAGCTGTGATGACAAATACCAAATCTTTTAAACAAAATAAAATTCAGGAGTTCAGTTTAAATCTTGACAAAGTTTCAGGCACATTAAAAGAAAACTAAATGAGTTTTAGGAAGCAGAGCATTCATATTTTACCTTTAAACAACTCTTAAAAACCTCTGCCTTTTCGTTTCCCCACCCCGGAGAAGAAAGGTCCCTTTAACAGCAACCTGTCTGACCTCAGACATATTAATTAAAATAAGTGGAAGAACAAGAAGTTTTTATTTTAAAAGCTTTTTCAGTAGTGAAGAAAGTATATCACCAAGAGTAAGGAATTAGAAATTTATGGCTGCGTTGTTTTGATTTTCATTTTTATAAATATATAGAATCTTATTTTCAAGGGGAAGTTAAAAGAGTCATAGTATCTGCTATTTTTAAATACCTACTATGTGAGAGATAAAGTTCTAGGCTTTTTAATACATTAAGCTGGCGGCATCACAATTCCAGACTTCAAGCTCTATTACAAAGCTGTCATCATCAAGACAGTATGGTACTGGCACAAAAACAGACACATAGAGCCATGGAACAGAATAGAGAGCCCAGAAATGGACCCTCAACTCTATGGTCAGCTCATCTTTCACAAAGCAGGAAAGAATGTCCAATGAAAAAAAGACAGTCTCTTCAACAAATGGTGTTGGGAAAATTGGACAGCCACATGCAGAAGAATGAAACTGGACCATTTCCTTACACCACACACAAAAAATAGACTCCAAATGGTTGACAGACCTAAATGTGAGACAGGAGTCCATCCAAATCCTAATGGAGAACACAGGCAGCAACCTCTTTGACCTCAGCCGCAGCAGCTTCTTCCTAGAAACATCGCCAAAGGCAAGGGAAGCGAGGGCAAAAATGAATTATTGGGACTTCATCAAGATAAAAAGCTTTTGCACAGCAAAAGAAACAGTCCACAAAACCAAAAGACAACCAACAGAATGGGAGAAGATATTTGCAAATGACATATCAGATAAAGGGCTTGTATCCAAAATCTATAAAGAACTTATCAAACTCAACACCCAAAGAACAAATGATCCAATCAAGAAATGGGCAGAAGACATGAACAGACATTTTTCCAAAGAAGACATCCAAATGGCCAAAAGACACATGAAAAAGTGCTCAGCATTGCTCAGCATCAGGGAAATCCAAATCAAAACCTCAGTGAGACACCACCTCACACCAGTCAGAATGGCTAAAATTAACAAGTCAGGAAACGACAGATGTTGGCGGGGATGTGGAGAATCCCACCTACGCTGTTGGTGGGAATGCAAGCTGGTGCAGCCACTCTGGAAAACAGTATGGAGGTTCCTCAAAAAGTTGAAAATAGAGCTTCCCTACGACCCAGCAATTGCACTACTGGTTATTTACCCCAAAGATACAGATGTAGTGGTCGAATGGGTACGTGCACCCCGATGATTATAGCAGCATTGTCCACAATAGCCAAACTATGGAAAGAGCCAAGATGTCCATCGACAGATGAATGGATAAAGATGATGTGTGTGTGTGTGTGTGTATGTGTGTGTGTGTGTGTGTGTATGTATATATATATATATATACATATATATACAATGGAATATTATGCAGCCATCAAAAGGAATGAGATCTTGCCATTTGCAGCGACATGGATGGAACTGGAGGGTATTGTGCTGAGTGAAATAAGTCAATCAGAGAAAGACATGTATCATATGACCTCACTGATATGAGGAATTCTTAATCTCAGGAAACAAACTGAGGGTTGCTGGAGTGGTGGGGGGTGGGAGGGATGGGCTGGCTGGGTGGTAGATGTTGGGAAGGGTATGTGCTATTGTGAGCGCTGTGAATTGTGTAAGACTGTCGAATCACAGACCTGTACCTCTGAAACAAATAATACATTATATGTTAAAAAAAGAAAAGAAGATAGTAGGAAGGGAGAAATGAAGGGGGGGAAACCGGAGTGGGAGACGAACCATGAGAGACTA